GTGCTGAGTGCCCTCAGGAGCTGGCACTGCCAACCCATGTGCCCATAAAACCTTACCTGGGAGCAGGGCAGCATTCCCCTTCCTCTTCACCTGAGCGTTCCCATCTGATCCTGGGCTTTATAACTGTAATAATCCCTTAAATCTTTTAAGTAACCCCTTTAGAAACCCCAAAGTGGCAACTTTGTACTTGCTGAGTCAGCTTTTTCTCTGGCAGCTCCTTGTGGGGCCCTTTAAAACCTAAAGGGGAAGGTTTAGAGAAAAGCAACCTGCTTCTGCTGAGCCAAATGACCTTGCTGGGGGTCTGAGTGTTCTTTGTGGAGAAATCTTTGGGTTTCTGAGAGCCTGGGGGAGAGGGGGAATCAGTTTATGCTTGGGGGAAGCAGTGAGGTGAAGGAGCAATGAGCAGGCCTGTGTTTGGGCTGGGGGAAAAAGGGGGTGTGTTTATCTTCCCTGTGCTGCCTCAGCTCATCCAAGTGCTGCTGAAATGAGGAGGTGAGAAGGAGTGATGCTTGTGAAGGCTTTGGGAGGAGAAAACTTGCAGGCACTCTGCAGACTTTGTGATTCCAGCTGCCTCTGCTGGAAGCCTCCTGGCTTCTCCTTGTTTCCCACCTCACCCCGTGGCTGGGGGGATCCCCAGGGTGGAGGGGGGCTTCTCTGCTGACAAAAATCCCCCTGAAAGGACAGTGGGTGTCCATCCCTCCCTCGGGGTCTGTGCGTTGGGCAGTGGCTAAAACCAGCAGCTCCTGGAGCAGGGAGATTCCCTCTGGCAGGCTGGAGTCAGAGCTGTGGCCACCTGGGGAAAGCTGCTGCTAAAATGACAGTCTGTAGCCTGGTGGAGGTGTTTGGAATCAGCAGCTCCACACTGTAGCTGGGCTGTGGAAAAGCTCTGAGTGCTGGGAGCCAGGCAGGGGCCAGTGGGAGCCAGGCAGGGGCTACCAGCCGCCCTTGAGGTCTGATGTCCCCTCGGCTGTGCTTGGGGCTGGCCTCGGCTGTGCTGGTGGCTGTGGTGACACTGTGGTGTCCTGCAGGACCAGGGGAGAACTTTCTGGGGTCTCGTGGGAGGAAAAAGAGCTCGTGGGCAGCATGGGGCTGAAGTGAGAAGAGCTGCAGGCAGGATTAAGGAGATCCTGTGAAATCTTCCTCTCGTGCTTCAAACTTTAATTGGGGGAAGACTCCCAAGGCCTCTGACAGTCCCGAGGCTTTAAGCTGTAGAAACTGCTGTTGTTTGGGAAGGAGATGGACAGTTTGCAGCAGTCAGCTGGGGGGGAGCACAGCTTGAACCTTCCCACTCCCCTAATTCGAGCCACAACCTTTAGAATGGGTTGAGCAAACGGGGCCTGGTGTTGGCTTCTCATGGGGGTGATGTCGCTGGCATGAATAGGAGCCCAAATTTGCCTTGAGCTGGAGGGTGGGGATGGGGTGGAGGGGATGGGGTGGGGATGGTGCCATGGTGCTAACTGTGCTGTGGTTCCCAGCTGGGCTCCACGGCCATCGGGATCCAGACGTCGGAGGGCGTCTGCCTGGCCGTGGAGAAGAGGATCACCTCCCCCCTCATGGAGCCCAGCAGCATCGAGAAGATCGTCGAAATCGATTCCCACATTGGTAAGGAGAAGGTCTGGAGCTCTGCCCTGCGAGCACCCCTCAGGTTTGGGGTAGATTTAAGACTGGAGCCCCTGGGAGGTGTTAGAAGTGGCGTTTCAGGGCTCACGCTGAGTGGGGATGCTCATCCCTCCCAGTGAACACCACCTCCTGGTTGCTGGTTTTCCAGGCTCCAGGCCAGCAGGACATAGCTGCAGGAGCAGGAAGAGGCAGCTGAAGCACCCATCCAGTGCCTCAGTGACCTCCCTTCTGAAAGCTCATCCCAAATTTAGCTCTAGGGAGGACAGGGAATTGCTGTGGAAAGCTTGACCCCAGGCCAGCTTCTCCCAGAGGACTAATGGCAGATGGAGCCCTGCTCCAGCACCCCAAGGGGCCCATGATGGGCTCGTTACCAAATATGTCACCTCAAAAACCAGGAGACCTCCAAAACCCCCAGGGTGCCGATTCCACGGGTGATGGAAGGAGCTCCAGGAGGAGTCTCATGTCCCCCTCCCATGTGATCCAGCCCTGCTCTTTCTGGAGTGGGATCTGTGCCAGAGGCTCCTGCTGCATCCTGCCCACAGGATGGGATGGAACTGGAATGAGCCAGTTTGGTTCTCTCAAGGCCCCAAACGTGGCTCCTTCAACCAGCCCACATCTGAGGTGTGGCTGGGAGAGCTCAGCTCCACACCCCCCTCCGGCGGGGTGTCCATCCCTCCTCTCGGGCAGATCCATCCCCATCCTGACCCTGTGGGGTGCTCCCGGGGTGGTGGGGGACCCATCACACCCCACAGCATTTCACTGTGGGTTTTGGGGAGCCCGGGGGGGAGGGGCAAAGCAAAGAAGGGCAGAAATGACACGTGGTCTCCCCTCTCTGACTGCAGGGTGTGCCATGAGCGGCCTCATAGCCGACGCGAAGACTCTCATCGACAAAGCCAGAGTGGAGACCCAGGTGAGACTGGAGGTTCCTCATCTTGCCACAACAGCACCGGGCTCAGGGCCACCTCGGGAGCCCCTGGCACGGGAGGGTTGTACCAGGAGAGGAGCTGGTGCAGGCAGGAGGCTGCTGGGGAGCGTTGTCTCTCACGGGGTTTTTGCAGAAGAAACAGGCTGAGCCTCCCCTGTGTTTTTTCCCCTCTTTGTTATTCCCTGTTGGGTGGGAATCTTCTGGCAAGTTCTCCAGTGGTCTTAGCACTGGTGGATGAGCTGTAGGGAGTGTGCTGGGCTGTGTGTCCCACTTTGTTTCAATGAAAGACTGGGTATATTGGTTTTATTTTTGACTCCTTAAATTTACTCGGGGCCTGAGGTACTCGGACATCCCAGATACAATAAAGACTTTTCCTGTGAGGTTTTTCCTGCACATCCTCTCTCCTCCTGCCTGTGGAGGCCCAGGTAACTCCATCACTTCAAACAGATACTGGAATCAAGTCCTCTGGCCTTCTGTTTTCCCTGTTGCCATCCCAAGGATTTTTTTTTTGGGAATCCCTGCCCAAACTTCCCAGCTTGTTCTGCCCTTCCCACTCTCTTCCTGGTGCTTCCCTCTTGCAGCTGAGCAGGCTGTGCCCCAGAGGAGAGCATTTGTCTTCGTGGCTCCTTCTGAATGATCCAGGCTTGTTGTATTTTGGGAGCAAGGTGATCATTTGAATCTTCTTTTCCCTGCAGAACCACTGGTTCACCTACAACGAGAACATGACGGTGGAGAGCGTGACACAGGCCGTGTCCAACCTGGCCCTGCAGTTCGGGGAGGAGGACGCAGACCCTGGGGCCATGGTGTGGAGCTGGGGGGGGTGGACCAGGGAGGGGCTGGTGGTGGCTCTTTGCCCTTGGCCTTCTCTGACCCACCCTCTCCTTTCTGTTGCAGTCTCGCCCCTTCGGCGTCGCGCTGCTTTTCGGAGGAGTCGATGAGAAGGGACCCCAGCTGTAAGTTCAGCCCTTTGCATCCAGGGGAAAAGACCAAACCTCAGCTGAAACTTCCCAGGATGTTTTAATGACTTGATTCTGGGATTTTACTTAAGCCAAACACTTGAGGTTTATCCCATTATATACCTGTTAATGCTTTTAAACCCTGCCCTTCCAAGCACAGCTTACAGCAACCTGAGCACCCTTTGGGATTGAAGAAAACAAAGTGACTTCACCAAATTCTTGGGTTTCTTTCCTGTTTTCCTGGGCAGAAGGGAGGTGTTAAAGCTCTCCTCGTCCTGAGCTTATTCTTACCTTTCCCTAAAGGACTAGCAGAGCCACCGGTAACATAATACCAGGAGCCTGCTGTAACATTCCTTGGGGAGGGGGTGGAGCACTTGAAACCTGAACTCTGTGCTTCAAACGCTCCGCCACTGCTGAGACCTCCCAGGAAGGTCTCCCCAGGGGCTCCCTCCCAGGAGCAGTAGTGAAAACTTGCTGGTTTTGTTAAAAAAAAACCAACAAAACAAAACACAAAATAGAAACCAGCAAGATAAGAAGGAAAATAAAAAGGCAAATGACTCTGCTGTGAGTATGGAGGACGTTGTGCAGCTCTCCTCCCAGCTCAGCAGCCTGGTGTGGGTCTGCTGGTGACTCTGACACTCCTCAAACCTTGGGCTCCTGCTTTGTGTGCCAGGGTGAGACCCCAGAGGAGAGGCTGGACATGGGGAGGGGCTTCCCCGAGCGATTCCCTGTGTCTGTAGACAAGCTGCTGCTCCAGAGGAGCCTGTGTTCCCCCTGGGGAGCACCGTGGGTCTGGTGGGAGAGCTGCTGATGTTCTCACCCGTGTCCCTGCAGGTTTCACATGGACCCCTCGGGGACGTTTGTCCAGTGCGACGCCAGAGCGATCGGCTCCGCCTCGGAGGGGGCCCAGAGCTCCCTGCAGGAGGTGTACCACAAGGTGAGGGCTGGAGGAGGCCTTTCAGATCCTGGAGTCCAAC